TTCAACTTATGCTCACACATAAAAATGTTGAATTTTTTGGCTCTCATGAAATGGTGCAGAATTTATTGTCTGTAACAGTGCATTTACCAGCACTACAAAACAAGGTCATTACAAAACATAATTTTTCCCAGTACAAAGCAAAGTTGCAGTATTACTATTAACAATATAATTTGTCAACTGTAAAAAAAAAACATTGATAGCCTATAAATTAAGCTATATATTGCATGAAATTTAAGGCAAAACAAGGTGGAAGAACTAACATTTCCAGCTATTATATTAATCACTTTGTCATTACTAAAGAGTATTAAAATACAATATGTCATTATTAAATACACTTTAATATAAAATACAATATTTTTACATAAATTAAGAGCCTTTGATGAAATTGATATAAAATCAATAAAGTATGTCTATTAAATATAGTATATCATAAAATAATTTATATTTTATAATATACTATATTTAATATAATATTATGTATGGCATGGACCCCTCTTGCATTGAACAACCACACAGACACTCATTCACGATCAGGATTTTCTCATTTGTAATTGAAAGATGCAAGACATCACTCACAATCTTTGTAGATTTGTACAATTAACGGTACAGTCTTTCTCGCATAGCCTTTCGCCTGTCTTTGTTTATACTCTGTATATAATTAAATCTCGTATATATAAAATGTCCCTTCGGCTTCGAACGGTGATTTCAATCTTTAAATAATCCAATGTCCAATTTTGTGCAGCTTTTTAATACATTGTGACACAACATCCAACAATTTTTATATTAAAAATAAAATTTCCATTGATAGACAGCAGATTTCAACGACCAAAACGACTCTTCGTCTTCTTTGAATAGTTTATACACTCCTATCTACTCCTATAGTCAGCCATATTTATTAGTAAAAGTTCGTGTTCAATTTGCGCATCCATTGTTTTCATGCGACCAATCAAATCACTTCTCGTTTTGGTTTTCGCCAGGGCCTCCGGCAACGCAGTGTCAGCCGTGAGGCCCTGGGACCGAGGATGAGCTCGTGCTGATAAACAAAGTCTGAGGCTCTCCACTCCTTCAAAGTTGTAAATCCCGTTTCTCGGTGTTATAAAGCCATAATACTCCAAAGTCTTTACTCTGATTCTTCTTGTATGCTTCTATCTTTGTGATTGTAAAACTGGCCTGGTCAGAAACGTAGTGAAGGCAAAAAACGCGAAAAACTATACCATACTGTAATACTGGGAACGAGGTTGACTGTAATCTATACCAAAGTCACACAGAAGGGCCACTTAGGGGCCATTCACAAAGGATGTCCGGCCAAATGATGGATTTTCAGACACCCCCTCCCCCCCTTGTCCGGCATTGTCCGAATTAGTGACCCCCCCCTCCCCCGGACATCCGCCATGCCTCGCAAAAACTCACGCAACCTTGTATATTTCAAGAGTAAAAAACTTTTTTTACTTTTAGAACTTTTTTATAACTGTAAATGTGAACACAAAAACATATAAATTACTAATTAAAACAAAATCTAGTGTTAACCGCATAGTCAAAATGTCAATTTCACAATGGGAAGGACTGCTCAAAATAGAGGGAAAAAGAAATTTGTTTTTGAATTTTTTTAAATTTCGGACATCCGGATTGCTAAAAACCCCCCTCCCCCCTATGTCCGAGTTTGTGCTGATTTTCCAAACCCCCCTCCCTCCCCCTCGGCTCGGACATCCTTTGTGAATGGCGCGCTGGCCGCCATCTTCGGATCTTCCTAGCCAGTCGATTACATTTTCTGGCCAATAAATGCGCTGTATTGGCTGGAGGCCCCGCCTTCTGGCCAGTCAACTGCATATTTTTGCATAAAAAAATGGCTACACGTTGCACGCTGAGTGGCCCCTTCTGGTACTGATCTTTATTCTGTGCCAAGTGGTGCAGGGAAAATCCTTGCAAGTGGAAGCACTGAACACTTTATAACTAGTAGAGCTATGAAGTATTGCAGTTTATTTGAGATTGTTACCGCTGACCAATAATGAATTTGAATTTGGAGTGAGAAATTTGAATTTGGAGTGATGAATTTGAAGTAAGGAATTTGAATTTAAAGTAAGGAATTTGAATTTGATATCCGATTTATTAATGACGTTGCCCTTGTGGGCCACCGTAGTTTATCATAAAAACACGCGAATTTTCTATAGGGGGAATATAGTCTCAACCAGTTATGTCCAAGATTGCAGCATGCTTTTGTATAAATCCGTATATACTTCACAAAATAAAAATCCTCTTGTAGTTATATCATTATAAAGAACATCGATCACAGTAAAGTCAATGACAATTATTTCGCAATTCAAGCTGTTTATCAAATTTCTATTTATTATGTGGTGTCTTATTGTCTATAATATCAGAGAAACAGACTGAGTTATGTACCGTATAATTAGTACGTAGACACTGTACTTGCATGTTAATATTCCTTCGGCTTCGAGTAGCCGGCTGTTGTGGTATTATTTCACCGTGGATTTGATAACAGGGTCAGAGAGGTATGCTTCGACATATTTCTTGATCATTGAATTTGAGTGAAGCCAGTGCAGGAAATTACACGCCACGACTTCGGAAATCATATAAGATCCCTCTAGTCGTTATTTTAAATAAATCCTTTGGGTCGAGTATCAGGATAGACTGGTCAGTCTAGAAATATATTATCTTCATATCTTGCGTGTTTACCCACAGGCGGCCCAATCTCGCAAGGGTCGGTACAGACTTTATATAGTATGAATGTATAATATATTAATGTATATTATAGTAAAAATATGTCGTAAACTATAAATTTTAAAATGAAATTGACTTGCCTATTTGATAGTGTGTGTTCTCCTTTTATTCCTCCTTTGTTGGACTAATATTTTCCAAGATTTTGTACTCGATGTTACTAGTATACATGAAACATGATAAAGGCTAACGATTCCCGATCGTCGATACGACGGTACGGCACTTCGAATCGAAAATTCTCACACTCAAATCGCTTTATTCTCAAAAAAAATTCGCCAGCATGTACAACAAATGCCGTTCTTCGAAAATACAGAGGTACTTCGGCGAGATGTACAAGTTTTGGACCATATTTTAACAATGGAAATCAAAACCCATTTTATATTGAACTTACCCGGACCGAAAATTACTACGGCGAACGTCTGCGCAACCAGGCCTCCTTTACCGTTGGATCACAGGGGGGGAGGATGCCACTAATATATTCACGATAATATTTCGAATTAAAGTATCATATTCTACCACGGGCAATAGGACAGGTGTAGTGTTGTTAAATAGAAAGTTGGAAATGGTATTATACTTACTCATGCATTATAATTATGTTTAAAAGATCAGAATATTCATAACTTCTTATTTTGTTTCATAAATAGTTCTTTAATATTCAAAACAAATTCCATATGACCATGCTTCGTCTGCCATCGCCATGTTTACTCGTCCCAATCTACATACTGCACGGCATTGCCGCCCCTCCTGGCAAAATAATAAGCAAGCGAGAAAAATTAAGGAGAAAATAAGAGGGTAGGAACATCGTTGTCATAAGCTGGATGCAGTGACACTTCCATATATGGCACAAACGTATCCATAACTTCCATATATGGCACAAACGTATCCACGACGCGTTTTATAGCGTTTTATTTGACGTAGGGATGACGTGTAATGCTGCTTCCCGCCTATGACGATTTGAATTAGTCATGTGATACAAGATTGAGAAAGCTGATTCGCCCAGAACGATGACACGCCCACAAAACGCCCACAATGTTCCTACCCTCTTATTTCTCCTTAATTTTTCTCGCTTGCTTATTATTTTGCCAGGAGGGGCGGCAATGCCGTGCAGCATGTAGATTGGGACGAGTAAACATGGCGATGGCAGACGAAGTAGATATGGAATTTGTTTCGAATATTAAAGAACTATTTATGAAACAAAATAAGAAGTTATGAATATTCTGATCTTTTAAACATAATTATAATGCATGAGTAAGTATAATACCATTTCCAACTTTCTATTTAACAACACTACACCTGTCCTATTGCCCGTGATTCTACCATACTTTCCAACAAAGAGCCGCTGTATATTATAATCTTCTTCCTTAAATTTGACAATAGCGAGATTGGTCTTCAATATGTAAAATCTTGAGGATTATCAGTTTTAAATACAGGTATTACCTTGGCTATTTTTAGTAAATCTGAGTGAATGCCACTTGAAAGCGAAAGATTGATAACTTGGGTAAAAGGTTGAGCTATAAATTCAAATGATTCTTTTATTACATTCATGGCTATATTATCAGAACCAGCTGTTTTCCCTGACTTAAGGGATTGGATATTAGATAGTTCATGCAGTAATATTGGTAGGGCTTATAAACCTAGTTTCGCTTATACGATCAGTTAAGAATGAGTTGAATGGGGTATCCACTGTTGGTATTTGCCTCGCCAAGTTAGCACCAACATTTGTGAAGTAATCACAAAACTGATTTGCAATTTCAGATGGATTTGTTAATATTTTATTTCCGTGATTAATTTAAATGTGGTAGGTCTTTCTTATTGATTTGTTAATTACTTCATTTAATAGTTTCCAAGTCTCTTTTAAATTTATTTGCTGAGACAAATCGTTCGTCATAGGAATTACGTTTAGAAATTCTGGTAAGGTAATTTAGCTTATTTCTTATAAATTTTGTATACTGAGATTCTCGAACAGGATTTGGCGAATTAAGTAGGTAGTATTTCGACAATAAGCTGCTTTAGTTTGTTGTAATATAATAAAGTTAGTTTGTTGCCAAGTTGTCGCAGGTTTACAGCAGACTTTTTAGAAGATTGATGACTCAACACATTTGTCACAAAAACTCCTTCCGCAGTTCGTGTCTCTATATAGACAGTAAAACCCCGCATATAGCTAAGAACCTAGAATTTAAGAACCTGTTTAGGCTAAACTATTTTATTTAGATCCCCTTTAAATCCGAACCTGCTCAGGCTAGAATTTCGAAACAGATTCTTATATTATCGGAGTCAAAATTAAGTCATAAGTTACAATCAGTGTAGCTTTAAAGTGCATATAGGGTTGGTATAGTGCATATACTGACATTTTTTACATAATCTGTGCATAATTTACAAAGACTTTTTAGATAATTGATGACTCAACACATTTGTCAAAAAACCTCTCTTTTATTTCTTCGGCCAGTTCGCGTCTCTGTATATACAGTAAAACCCCGCATATATAACAACCTAGAATTTAAGAACCTGTTAGGCTAAACTATTTTATTTAGACCTCCTTTAAATCCGAACCTGCTCAGGCTAGAATTTCGAAACAGATTCTTATATTATCAAATAGAGTCAAAATTAAGTCATAAGTTACAATCAGTGTAGCTTTAAAGTGCAAATAGAGTTGGTACATATAGTGCACATACTGTCATTTTTTACATAATCTGTGCATAATTTATATAAATCAGCATATATTCATATACCATACCTTCCTAAAACGAGTCGCTTTTCTGTCAAGAAATTAAGAACCTATTTAAGAACATGTATAGCCTAATTTCCTGGTAAGCACCATTTACACGAGAACCTGTTTAAGCTAACTTGGAAAATCTAGGTTCTTATATGCGGGTTTTATTGTAACATCATGTTCTAAAAGCTTGTATCAAATCTTCAACTTTGGCTTCCTCATATTGACAGGTTGTCCAACTGGCTCAGGACCTCATCCTTAAATAAAAAATATTTCTTCATCGTTTAATTAAGCCTAATTATGAGTAGTTATATACAAAGCGGACTCAACCAAATACAGCCGATTTTCGCCAGGTATTCTCGTTTTCTCCTATAGTAATACTGGATCAGTAAGGGGTAATTCTTACTGGACCTCTATATATGTTTAACTAGAACAGGTAGAACTAGAGTTACCCAGGCAGTCTAAACAGAGCTTATAGTAGTGTTGACACTTACACAGGGTATTTCATTCAAATCAATACATCACAGGACATTCTCATCTTTATCACTTACTTTGACTTCGTGATTACAAAACTTCTCTCTCATTTCTTCGGCAAGAGCAGGTCTGTTTATAACATCATCTTCTAAAGCTTGTATCAAGTCCTCAACTTTTGGATACCTTGTCCTTCGTCGCCATCTTTGCAAAACATCCATACAGCTCCTCTCAACACCTTCAAAATTCTGACTTGACATATCTATTTCACATTCTGGCACGCCAAGAACGCGAGCGTAGTTTCGAAACCACGCTGCAATGCGGGGTGCAAGCCACAACAAAACAGAGTCATCCAACTCGTCTTCATTCAAAAGAGCACGAATGACATCACACCGTCCAACGGTTTCATCTTCCAAGCATAAACGAACTTTTTCCCAAGTTGGTTTCTTTCCAAGCGTCATTTCTGCATTTCTCCACGAGTTAAGGATTTTAATGTTTCGGCTTTCTGGCTGGGGTTCGCCTTGTTTAATAGCTTCGATTTCAACCGAGTCGACGTCTAACAGCATTGCAACTTTTTCGACATCCTTGCTGAGATGTCGCGCCAACCACGGTACGTGCCGTTCACAAACTTCCTCATCGAAATCCGTTATTTCTGTTTCAAAAAGAAAAAAATGATACTGTAAACTTCCGAATATAAATCTACCCGCCTATAAGCCCACCTGAATATAACCCCACCCGTGTATAATTATTATTATATCTCATTTGTGTCGGTTTTCTTTGATCGTCCGAGGTTTATAACTAGCTAATATACCTTGAATAAATAATTACATCAAACTTTTCGACAAAACGCGAGAATTTTTCATCAAAAATTTTTGAAAATGACAAAATATGTTAGAAAACCTCCACAAATGAGATATAAGTTAGTTATAAACCTCGAAAGTCGGTTTATAACTGATATATTGCCCTCGGACGCTATACGCGTCCTCGGGGGCAATATACCAGTTATAAACCTCCTTCTCGGTTTATAACTCTACCTTATCTTCATATTTATCCAGGATACCCACATCACCGAAGTGTTTTTTCAGTGGGGTCCTGCAACTTTAAATTACAGTATATTAATTCAATATTTATTTATGCACTATTTACAGCTACACACATATACAATATAATAATTTCTGAGTATTAATAAAGTCTGATTTCCACTCCAATCAAAACAAAACAAAACACAACGCACTTCTTTGTTTCAAGGGCACCTAATTGTATCAGAATGCTCACGAAACAAATAAGTACGTTACACTTCGCCGTGGATACGTTTGAAGTGCAAAACAGATAAAGATTGAGAGAAACAGATAAGTGAAGAGACGGAAGAGAATGAGAGGACGGAAGAGAATGAGAGGTTTATACCTCGTATGCACACCGTCTTTTTAATAGTTTTTTAAAGTTATGTAATGAAGTAGCGTTTTTTAGTTCACGTTCTAGATTGTTAAAGTATATAGACGCTTGATACGTTGGTCACTGTTTTCCCTTGTTCGTCTTTGCTCGTGGTAGATGGAGATCACTGCGGTGTCTTGTATAGTGTTCATGAATGTCTTCGTTTTTTGTTAATTCAAAATCAATTAAGTCATTCATATATTTGTAGATAAACGTGCATCTGTGGTTGTGTTGTCCATTTAATCCTTTTCCGGCTGATAATTTCAGCAAAAATAAAACAAAAGTTATTCCGAATAAGGAGTGCATAATATTAACACACAATTTATTAAAACTGTATATTTCGAATCTAAATCAGATTCATCTTCAGCAGTGTTTTGCAAGATATGTCGTTATATTTACAAGCGTGAGCAATTTTAAACAAGCTAGCGTGCGCAAAAGTGCGTAAGCAATCAATAGCGTTTATTCGTGATGAAGCAGTTCACGTAGTTCTTTCATTCAGCGCACGTTAATTAATTAAATAACTGTAGTTCTCTACTAGCTTTTAGTCCATTATTAAGACTTGATTTACGTCTTTTAATGTGTAGCGCTTCTTTATATAGTAATAAATTCCAGTTTCTGGAAGAATCAATGATCTTAGTGTTTGAGAGTACAAGTTCTGTCAGTTGTGCGTTAGATTGTGATGTTAAGAATGTTTTGTCGTAGCAGCAGTCTAAGTGTTTGTACACAGCACTTTCCTTGTCTTTGTACGCATGTTCCTTTACCCGTTCTAGAAGCGTTCGGTCAGTCTTGCCTATATAGCTGTTGTTGCATTTAGGGCAAGTAAATTGGTATACATCGTTGGATTTGTTTTGTTTAGGTACTTTGTCTTTTGCGTTCGTAAACAGTTTAGTTTAGTTGTTGTTACTCTCGTCCTAATCTGCACGTTCGTAATGTTGAGACAACGTAATAGTTTCCTCTTGAGTGCACGTAAAAGTTGTTCGCCTTTCGTCCCAATGTATGGCATTTCTAGCCAAAGCGTCGGTCTAGTTTCGTTCGATTCTGTCGTGTTATTATCTTGGTCGTTTGTTGTGTTTTGGTTAAAGCGTTTTATGAGTGAAAAGACAACACGTTTAGGATACCCATTCCATGACGCAATTTTCTTAAGAAATTGCAATTCTTGGGCTAGTTTCGTGGGTGAACAGATTTTGTTAATGCGACCAAGAAGAGAGCGAATCCATGCAATGCGATGTTTCCATGGTACGAAACTGTCAAAGTGAGTGTATTGACCTGTAAAAGTATGTTTTCGGTATATGGAACACTTGTTGCCATCTAGGTTAAGATCTAGAAAGTGTGGTGGTTCGTCTGAAAATACGTCATAGGTGAAACGTATATTACGGTCAAAAGAGTGGAATTCGTTCAGAAGGAAATCAATGTCGTCATGTTTGATTAGTAGTAGTGTGTCATCTACATATCGGCAATAGAATTTAATTATGCCGCTATTAATTAGAGGATTAATTACAATGCGCTCAAATTCGGTTAGGATAATGTTCGCCATCACTCGCCAACGTTGTATACCAATTTACTTGCCCTAAATGCAACAACAGCTATATAGGCAAGACTGACCGAACGCTTCCAGAACGGGTAAAGGAACATGCGTACAAAGACAAGAAAAGTGCTGTGTACAAACACTTACACTGCTGCTACGACAAAACATTCTTAACATCACAATCTAACACACAACTGACAGAACTTGTACTCTCAAACACTAAGATCATTGATTCTTCCAGAAACTGGAATTTATTACTATATAAAGAAGCGCTACACATTAAAAGACGTAAATCAAGTCTTAATAATGGACTAAAAGCTAGTAGAGAACTACAGTTATTTAATTAATTAACGTGCGCTGAATGAAAGAACTACGTGAACTGCTTCATCACGAATAAACGCTATTGATTGCTTACGCACTTTTGCGCACGCTAGCTTGTTTAAAATTGCTCACGCTTGTAAATATAACGACATATCTTGCAAAACACTGCTGAAGATGAATCTGATTTAGATTCGAAATATACAGTTTTAATAAATTGTGTGTTAATATTATGCACTCCTTATTCGGAATAACTTTTGTTTTATTTTGTCCATTTAAGTTCTCGTAAAGTTTCGGTTGAAGAATATCGTGGGTGTTCGTTTAGAATGATCTTCGCTGCCTTGTTTTGAAGCACTTGCAGTGAATTCATTAACACAGAATTGTTCTTGTCACCCCCAAAATTGTGTCTCCATAGTCGAATAGTGGTAGTACACTAATGACGTGTACAGTACACAACGCGTGTCCGGATCTAGAAATCCCTTTACCCTTTTTTTTATTAAAAGTTTTTGCCACAAGAACACAGTACATAAAAGACAGTCACAGTAACTATTTACATACGCTTATGAATCTATATACAAGAGGAATCACTATATTGCGTGCAACTTCCGGTGGTGGCGACCTCAGGAAACCATAAGGCTTATAAGAAGAGGTCCCCTCGTGTTATTAATTATGAATATATAGTTGTTGGTAGTTTTAATAAGACAAGATAATCATAAGAACAATTATAAGTACAACAATTTACATTTGATAAACGCAGATGCGAAAGATGACCAGTTCAGACAAACTTAATTTAACAGCAGATCATTAATTCTTTTCTTGAAACATGACAAACTGTTAGAAATCTTTACATTAACAGGGAGGGAATTCCAAATTTTTGGACCTTGGTACAATATTGACAATTGTTTAATGTTGGTTCGACAAAAATGGGTTCTATAATTAGCAGTAGATCTAGTATTATAATTATGCACCTGGCTGTTTGTTACGAATAAGTTTCGAAAAGACAGAGGCAATAATGCATGATGATAAGAAAACATGAATTTGGCTATGTAAAATGAGTTTGCTTTAAAAATATCAAGTATTCGAAGGCGAGCAAATAAGGGAGCTGTATGAGCTAAAAAGTCTGAATTTGTCATCGCTCGCACGACACGTTTTTGCAAAAGAAATATCCTATTTAAGTTTGTAATATAAGTAGATGACCATGCTACGTTACAGTAACTAAGATAAGGGTAAATTAGAGAATAATATAACATTAACTTAGTTTTAGCAGATAATAAGAAGCGAGATTTGAAAATTATTCCAACTGATTTTGCTATTTTGTTACATACATGACCAATGTGGGATTTCCAATTTAGATTATCGTCAATATAAACACCCAGAAATTTTGTTTCATCTGCGCGCTCAAGTAGCTGATCATCAAAATAAAGATGTGTATTTCTGTGTACGTTTTTCTGTTTGTGTTTGAAAATAATATAATTTGTTTTCTTTGTGTTAATTGAGAGCTTATTACATTTCATCCAGATGTCAATATTATTTAACTCTTCATTCAAGGTGATCAATATCTGCATGAGAATAAAAAGTACTAGTATCATCAGCAAAGAGGAGTGATTCGGTTACTTTTGAAGCGTTAGCAAGGTCGTTAATGTAAAAAATAAAAAATAAAGGGCCTAAAATAGAACCTTGAGGTACACCACATTTAATAGTTAGCATTGAAGATTGGGTTTCATTAAATTGCACAAACTGTGGGCGTTTGGAAAAATAACTTTTGATCCATTGTAAGACTGTGCCAAGTATTCCATGTTCCAGTGCCTTTGATAAGTCTAAAAATATCCCGGCTGTAATTTCGTTTCTGTCAATCGAAATGCTATTTTATTAACCAGGTGAATTAATGCGTGTGAGGTAGAATGATTTTTTCGAAAACCAAATTGATGACGATAGAGGATCTCATACTGCTCCAGAAATTCTATCAAACGATTTTGCGATACTTTCTCAAAAAATTTCGCAAAATTTGAAAGAAGTGATATTGGCCTATAATTGGTAAATTTTTCAGGATCTTCCGCTTTATATATGTGGGTAATTTTAGCTATTTTCAATTTGTCCGGAAACACCCCTTTGGCAAATGAAAGGTTAATGATATCCTTCAATGGTTCCGATATTAAACTAAAAGAACACTTTATCACATGCATTGACAAATTGTCATAACCTGGCGCCTTCTGAGATTTAAAATTCTGGCAAATTTCTTCTAGTTCAGCTGTACTAGTGGGTTTCAAAACATTCATGGAATCATTTGTGTTGTCAGTCAAAAATGAAGAAAAGGAAGTATTGGTCATGGGTATTTTATTTGCCAAATTTGGTCCGATGTTGGTAAAATATTTGCAAAATCCATTAGCAATGTCCATTGGATGCGAGGTTAATTTATCATCAATTTTGAAAGACAATGGCAAAGACGATTTACTTTTTTTATTGTTTATAACCTCATTTAAGAGATTCCAAGTTACTTTTAAATCATTTTTTGCATATTCAAATTTTTTTTCATAGTATAAGCGCTTGGCATTTTTTATGTGGTTGAGCTTATTTTTATATTTCTTATAGTGTAATTCACGTATAGAATCAGGTTTTTTTAAAAACATTTTATACAATCTATTCTTTTTTCTGATCGATTTCAATAATCCCTTTGTAATCCAAGGGTTGTTAATTTTTTTTGCGCTGGTTTCATTTATAGTTATAATAGGAAAACATAATTCATAAAATTTAGTGTATTCCGCCAAAAAAGTGTTATAAGCTTCATTAGGATCCTGTTTAGATAGGTTATTTGACCAGTTTGTTTGTGCTAAAAAAGATTGAAATTTAGATAAGTTTGATTCGCTAAAATAACGCTTTATCGTTTTCTTAAAACGATTATAGAGTAGGGGACCATTGTAAATATATGCAAACACAGGCAGGTCATCCGAAATGTCGTTAAGAAGAATGCCGTTTAGTATTTTTCTTGTCGGATTATTAGTGAATATATTATCGAGTAATGTTGCAGAGTGTGCAGTTAGACGCGTAGGTTTGGTAATCAGAGGGAAGAACATGTGCGAAAATAGGTTGTCAACGAATTCTTGAGTACTGTAAGGCGTGATGATTATAATGAAGCAAATCCAAATTGAAGTCCCCCATTACATAACATGGTTTATTATCTTTTGAGATAATAGAAATTATTTCATTGAATTTTTCTAAGAAAGCCGCTACGTTTTGATTGGGTGGTCTACACTGTGCCTACAATAATGTTTTTGCCATTTGGTATGCAAATCTCCACAAAAATAGATTCAATCAAATCCGGATTTGTGTAATTGCATTTTGAACATAATTTGTACTCAAGGCTGTTTTGTAGATAAAGCCCTACTCCACCACCGGGTTTTGTAGTACGATGATTGGAAACGAATTTATAACCAGAAATATCAACTAAATCATATGTTTGATCATTTAGCCACGTTTCAGTTATTCCAATAACTGAAAAAGTTTTTTTATGTTTGATAATAAAATTTTAAATTTGTACAAATTTCCAAGCAGACTACGCGCGTTTAAGTGCAACAGAGAAAAACTATTGTTATTGTCGTCTAATTTTGTGTTTAATTCGTCTTCAACCATGTAATTAACTCTTCAACCCTTCGCAATACTCCGAGTCTTTGGTTGCTCTTGGCAATCATGTTGTCAATATGATTATGCCAAGTTAGATCACTGCTTAGAGTTACACCAAGATATTTAAAAGATGTTTCCTGCGACACTTTCTTATTTTGGATGGTGATGTCTACATTGGTTGATGGTTTTTTGTTGGCGAATATCATAAATGATTTTTCTCGTAGTTCAGTGTTAATAGGTTGTTGTTGAGCCATTGTGATAGTGAATCTAAGTCCTCGTTTATCTTATCTTGTAGTTCGTTTTCTGTCCTCGCAGGGTAGTAATGCAAAGTGCAATCAGCATACACAATAGATTTGCAGTGTTTCAAACGCTGAGGCAAGTTATTAATGAATATTAGGAACAGTAGGGGTCTTAGGATACTTCCTTGCAGCACGCCTACGGTTACCGGTTTTGGAGTTGACGTGATGTTGTTGATCGATGTAACGACTGTACGTGAAGATGAATAAGATGTGAACCAGTTTATAACAAGGTGCTGAAAATCCAGTATTTTTAAATTTAGCAATTAGTAGGGTGTGATCAACTGTGTCGAAGGGCTTTCGTAAGTCAATGAAAACAGCGCCGGCAGCTAATTTGTTGTCGATATTAAGTAGAATTTCCTCAGTAACTCGCGTTAAAGCAACATTTGTAGATAAATTCGGGCGAAAACCAAACTGTTCTGAAGTGATAAGATTATGCTCCTGTAGATACTTGTAGACTTCCTTGAAAACTATGCGCTCCATGACTTTACTTAGGATAGGTAAAATAGTCATGGATCGGTATAGTTGTTAGGTGCTGTTGGGTCGTTGGCTTTGAAGAGGGGAATAATTTCTCCTTTTTTCCAAATATCTGGAAATGTTTGTAAGAGGAGCGAGGCATTGAAAATCTTCGTTCAACTAGATGCAATTGTAGGGGCTGATTCGTTCAACTGGATGCAATTGTAGGGGCTGATGAAAGTTCTCGGAGGACAAATGATTCGTCTACTTCTTCGAACTCAAAGCTGTAGGGAAGATCAGTGGCTGCAGGTGGAGGTTGTTTGGGTTGAAATGTACTCTTGATTTTATCTGCTAGTTTTGTCCAAATTAATGGACGTCAAATATTCATTTGAAATTGTTGCTATGGACTTTTGATCAGTGACAGGCTTTTCCTCAGAGATTATGCATGTCGGGTTTGTCCAGATTTATTGCGAGATGTTAGATTATTCAATGTTTTCCAAAGGTCGGAAGGATTATCCTTATTAGCGCTCACGGAATCTTGGTAATACTTGGATTTAGAGAGCTTGACTTGACTGTTAACTTGATTTCTTAGTTCACGAAATTGTTGCCAGTGGTATTCCGAGTTTGTCTTATGTGCACGTTTTTTATGATAATCTCGTTCACGTATTAACTCAGTTCATTACGGTGTGATCCAAGGGGATTTACTCGCCTGGTTTTAATGGAAGCGTGTTTGTCTACGATTTCTGAAAATTTATTGCAGTATCATTAAGATCAGACACGAAATCCATAAATGACCAGCCAACATTCTCGAGATCGTGTTTAAAATTGTTTGGATTATAATGTTTGTAGCAACGATAGTTAATATCTCGGAAATTTCCACCGCATTTAGCAACACCAGCTTTAATTACGCAAAATATGAAGGAATGATCACTGAGATCCAAAGAAAAAACTCCGCTTGCCACAACGCTTGGCAATGTGACGCAGACGGTAATAATAAATATTTGCATTGCGGTAATTATTTGCATATTACAGAAACGTGTTGCAAAGGACAAAAGGCTAAATCGCAAGCGTCTAAAATCTCGCATTCAATATTATTCCAATTGTGTGGCAACGTTCCAGTTGCTGATTATTACCTGTGGAGATATTCAAACAAACCCAGGACCTTCTACAACTGAACCAACATCAAGTAACAACCAATGTTATCGGCGTGTTTCTGCGGTTAAATGTCCAACATGTGAGAAAACTGTTCGACGCAATCAAAAACGTGTAGTTTGCAATACTTGCAAAAACTTGTATCATGCACGGTGTATCGAGGCAGTTATCCTACAGCATACTCCATCCGACAAGCCCGTTGAGCAGACATGTGATAGATGTATAATATCACTGCTACCCTTCCATGGCCAACCTAATTTAGACGCTTCTTTTCGACAAGAAACCAGTGACGATCTTCTTAACGACGGGCCCGACGAACATCTCAATGTCCTCACTAGTAGGGCTAACCAACTTTGATGAGCTACTCGTTACCATTTCTAAATATCCATTTGATATAATAGCAATGAGTGAAACATGCCTAAAGAACAATCCTCACTTATTAGAATATGTTAATATCCTTGGCTACTCTAGCGCCTCTCGCAACCGAGATAAAATTCGTGGGGGAGGTGTTGGTGTGTATTTGAGGGATACTATTAACTACAAGAGGCGTGCAGATATTGAAGACATCGAACCTGAACTAGAACACATATGGCTGGAAATACCTGGTAAAAATAAACACAGTAAGACGTTGCTCGGAGTATTGTATCGATCGGAGCGTTTACAGGACTCCCAAGCTTGGATGGACAAGACCGAAAATGTACTAAGCTAGCTAAATGTCCTCTGGGATGGTCTACTTGCCGTCACTGGCGACACGAATATCGACCTGTTGAAACCTGAATTACCCCAAGTTAAGAAATATACTGATTTACTGGAATCGCTGAATCGTTATCAACACGTGCAATGTCCTACTCGTACTGCTCCTACTGTACTTCTTTTTTTTATTATTTAAACATATTTATGCGTTTGCCCCAAGAGCTATATATAAGCTAATCTAGGAGGCTCACGCCAATTTACATTTAAATACATTATATTAAAAGGTGGTACAAATAATAGAATAGACATCCTGAGAAGCGGTTGGATCAGTCGTTACAAACTGCAAAACGCTCCGATCTTTTGATATACGTTTGTACATGGAAAAAATAGCATTGTTTTGATTCAAAGTCAGATTCTCAGATCCAAACAAAAACATTTTCGTTTTAGAAGAATCGGACATGTGATACTACTCGTTTTCCAAGATTTCAACCATGGCCGCTAACAAGAAAGTCCTAAGAGCAGCATATCGGGGACAATATAAACATAATGAATTACAGATTCACAATTAAACCCACAATTACACGCTGGAGATATCACACAATTAATTTTGAGTAGTTTAAAGCACAACAATTCAAGCGAAGTCGAGCATGAAGAATAGAATTATATCTATCTAGTGCATAATCATAGCGTTTCTCTTAAGTTGAAATGTCAAAGAAATCCTGCAAATAGCTTTTAAAATATCTTAACGATTGAGTATCCCTGAATTTATAGTCTAAACTGTTCCATAAGCCTGTAGTGGCAGGAAAAAATTTTTTTTAAATCTTTCCGTACGACATTGGATTAAGCTAAAGTTACAGGCAGATCTTAGCAACAACCCTGATCTTTGTTGTGTCGTAGGAGTAAGCAAATCAGATAATTATTAACTATCTTAAAGAACAAAATAATTTGTGAACTGAACGTCTTGTCTTCAAACTTTCCCATACTAACTCCTCGAGCAGTCTTTGGTGCCCAGTAACCTTCATCGCACTAGTGACCACTCTAGCAAATTCATATTGTACAGATTCAAGCAAGTCACTAACATTTTCACAACAACCATCCCAAACAACATCTGCATATTCCATAAGAGGTCTAATTAAAGATTTGTAAAGCTTTTCCAAAGAATTTATATTAATTTTGAATTTCAAACCTTTCAATAAATTTAATCGTTTTGAAGCTTTATCATAAATGTTTTTAAAACATGTGTTCTTCAGGACATGTTAGAAGAAGGAGTGACACCAAGATGATTATCACTATTGACAATATTAATTTCATTATTTTCATAATATAAAGCTGGATGTACTGGTTTATATTTCTTGGTGGAGAAAATCACTGCTTCAGTTTTACTAGGATTAATACTGACGAGCCAATCACGTGCCATTTACTAATATTTGTTAAGTCACTATTAAGTTTGGCTGAAGTTAATTGAGGATCTTCGACAATTTCTAACAAAGAAGTATCGTCCGCATAAAGAAAACAAGTACTTTGAATATTATCAGTGATATCATTTATATAAACTAGAAATAGCAGTGGCCCAAGTACTGATCCCTGTGGCACTCCTGCTTCAACGTCTTTCCAATCAGACATGTTTTCATCAATAACTATTCGTTGTTTTCTGTTTGTCAAATAGCTTTTAATCCAAGATAGTAATGACCTCTAATACCTAAACGTTTCAACTTAAAAAGGAGACCTTTATGCCACACTTTGTCAAAAGCTTTACTTATGTCCAAGAACACCATATGCACTTCCTTTCCACGCTCTAAAGCCTCATAAATTGTATGTACCATAAGTATGAACCAAAATTGCCGGGAAACCGGAAAATGCGGGATTTTTCGCGATTTTCAGAAAATAAATTCATAAATGAGGTGAGGCAAATCAGATGGAACATAGTTATTGAAAAGCACCGTAGAAATGTTGATAAATTGTTTTCATCATTTTACAACAAATTAAATAAATTAGTAAACAAACACGTACCTCGTAAAAATGTTACGAAACGTGATATGAAGAACTTTTCGAAACCATGGATTACCACAGGGATAAAAAGATCAATCAAAGAAAAAAATAGATTACTCACTCAAGGAGAGTATGAGAAATATAAGTATTATCGCAATAGAATATCAACTCTTATTCGAGTAAGTAAAAAGAAATATTATTATGAATATTTCGAAATTAATCTAAATAATATGAAAAACACTTGGGATGGTATTAATGATTTAATTAACAGGAAAAAAAGAAAATCTTGTAAAATATCTGGTTTAAAAGATACTGAAACTGGTCAAATTATTCGAGATCCATCAGTACTCCCAAATTTGTTAAACAAATATTTCGCGTCGATAGGCCATAAGTTAGGAACAGATACGACACAATCCGAAAGTCATTTTTCTGATTACATGAAAAATATTCAAATTCAACAGTCTTTCTTCTGCACACCAATTACGCCGTCAGAAATAGAGTCCGAAATACTGTCTATACAAAACAAGAAAGCCTATGGTTTATACTCGTGTCCTACAAAAATTTTAAAATGTTCAAGTAACGTGATAAGTAAACCTTTTTCTGATATTTTAAACATATCAATTGAAAATGGAGTTTATCCTTCTATTTTAAAACATGCCAAAGTAATTCCTATTTTCAAATCCGGTGATGAAACGGAAAAAGGCAATTATAGGCCTATATCACTTTTATCAAACTTAAATAGAATTTTTGAAAAAGTTATGTACAAATGCTTTATGAGTTTCATCCAAGACAAAAATATTCTATATCACTCACAATATGGTTTTAGACGGCAACATTCAACGCAACATGCAATTCTTGATATAGTTAATAGGATACAGGAAAATATAGACAATAAAAAATTTACGTGTGGTATTTTTATTGATCTACAAAAAGCGTTTGATACTGTAGATCATACAATTTTATTACGTAAACTTCAATGTTATGGATTCAGAGGTATAATCTATGATTGGTTTTCATCATATTTAACAAATCGAATTCAAACTACGGAAATTGATAACAATATTTCGAACAAGGAAAGAACAATTTGTGGTGTACCACAAGGATCAGTACTTGGTCCACTACTTTTTCTTATTTATATAAACGATATTCATTACTCTTCTGACAAATTTAGTTTCCATTTGTTTGCTGATGATTCCAACTTATTATATTCAAACAAGAATCCTAAAACCCTTGAAAGCATTGTTAACACAGAACTAGAAAAAGTTTACAGATGGTTAAATGCAAATAAATTAACAATGAATACTAAAAAATCAAACTTTATTATTTTTCATCCTTATCAAAGAAATCTAAAGTACCAAGTAAATATAAGAATATTTGACTGGAAGGACAAGAAATATATTTCTCTTGAACGCAAGGAATACATTAAATATTTGGGACTTTTACTAGATGAACATTTAACTTGGAAACAACATATAGATTATGTAGCATGCAAAGTAAGCAAAACAATCGGAATCATCGCGAAACTCCGACATTTTGTTCCTCTTCAGGTACTTACAAGTATCTATCGATCACTTATTTCCCCCTATCTATCCTACGCTATTACTGTTTGGGGAAATGCTTCTCAAACTAATTTAAAAAAACTCTTGGTACTTCAAAAGCGTGCTCTACGGTTAATGCATTTCGCTAATAATCGCGATCATGCCGTTCCTTTCTTCAAAAATACAAATAACTTGCCTATTAACATGTTATATGTTGAAACAGTTTCAAAATTAATGTACGACATTAGTCATAATTCAGCACCTAGAAATGTAATGGATCTCTTTACTCAAGTTGCTACTGTTCATTCCTATAATACCAAATCCTCTACTGCTGGTAATTATCAGATAAAATATTCTCGTACAAATCAACAGCATAATGCTTTCTCTAGAGTTGGTGCTAAAGTATGGAATTCTGTCCCTGAACATCTCCGCGATCTTAAAAAAAAAGATTTCACTAGTAAGATTCACACTTTACTAATCGAAATTATGAATAACGAAGATGACTATGTTGATCTCCCTATGATTTTGCAGAGAATGTCTGTTTGATCTTATTTTTAATATTTCATGGGTACGTTATTAACAGTACATCATTCATCAATCAGATCCTACACCACCTTTCAAATTCCACCGCTAATGATACATTTCTTTAATTTTTTTTTTTTTTAAATTTTTTCTGCACGTATATATACAGTAAAATTGTCTGCAACTAATTGAAATTATAACTGTCTAAATTTATATTTCATGCCCGCCTCTGATTAGCTATTGCTATTTGCGGGTCATGTTATTTCTATCTTATGTATTTTATTTTATTGAATAAAATTGTATTGTATTGTAAAAATTGTATTGTATTGTATGAGTTGATTCACAGTGGAATCCCTGGGACGAAACCCTGACTGCAAGAGAGTGAAAAAATTTATTTCTAGTAAAAAATTATAAAGACATTTAAATACTATTTTCTCAACCATTTTGGACAACGATGTTAGTAAAGACACAGGACGATAATTACTTTTCAATTGACGATTATTTTTTTTTAAAAATGGGAACAACATTTGCTAGTTTCCATACTGTTGGAAAACAGCCATTTACCAAAGAGATGTAAAAAAATCTCACTTATTGACCACATAATTAGTAATACCCCAAACCGTGTCACCTATTGTAACGTATTACCATGTCGTACAGTCAGCGACCACGATGCGCCTTACGTTTGCATTAATATAACAGCTTGCAGATTCCAGCCACGATTTAAATTACTACGTGATGAGAAACAGTTTATGAAAAAGCTTTTATAGACGATATTGCAACACTGCCATTCAATATCGTTTACAGTATCGACGATCCAGATCAGCAACTAGATATTTTAGCTCATTAATAAAGATTGCCTCGACAGACATGCACCACTACGCAGATCTAAAATAACGCAAACTCCTGCACCCTGGTTAAATCACAGTGATGTGAAACAAATTCAAAAAGAACGAAACGAGCTCAGATATTTGGCTCACAAAACAAACCTGAGTCAAGTCTGGAATAAATTCCGCGAAGTAAGAAACACTATACAGACAAAGATTAAGAAGGTCAAGAGAGCTTTCTATCAGAAAGCATTACCGAAAGAACTTTGGAAAGTAATACTTTATCCCAATCCCAAACCTATAAATGGGGATCCCGACCAATTGAACAACCACTTCAGCTATACCTCGCAACGTCTACTCGGGTCAGTGCCGACTTCCCTAAGTGCCTTGTAAGAACTAGTAAACTCATTACCAGTCTGTTGTACGTCCAACTCGTTTAATATTCGTCCTGTTGCCCATAGTGAAGTATTGAATCAGTTAAGAACAATAAGATCTGACTGCTCGACAGGAACAGACCAGATTCCGGTAGAGGCCCTGTCACACTATTGCGTATGAGAGAAACGTATGAGAAGCGTATCAAAATTAATAAAATAATTTTCATACGCACAAAAGTCTTTTGAAATGCCAGCGTATGAGTACCGTACATCTGGCGTACCTCTAGCGTATTCAGCGTGTGCCTAGAGTATGCTTATAGTATAAAGCATATACGTTCGATACGCACAAAATGTTTGAACATGCTTTAAAAAAATTTTCTGCCTCGCCGTATGCCAGCGTATGCGACCGTGCTTGAAACGTATACAACCTATGCCTAACGTACCCCTAGCGTATGTCAACGTATACCGGCGTATGAGTGATATTTTTCATACGCTGGCATACGCTAGTACGATACGCAATAGTGTGACAGGGTCTTAAAATACCTTAAGATGGCAGCTGACTACATTGCCTCACCATTAACCTATATCATCAACGGGTTTATTGCAAATCACAGCTTTCCAGATGTTTGAAAGACTGCACGTGTGTCAGTGTCACCTATACCCAAAGTAGCCCCTCCGACTGAGTTAGACCATTATAGACCAATTGCTATTTTCCCGGTTCTTTCCAAAGTCTATGAACCCTCATCCTAAATCAAATTGAAAAATACATTGACCAGCATCATGTATTAAACGAGAATGTTACTGCCTTTCGTAAAGGCCATGCCACCTCATCTGTCCTTAAGCTACGTTTACACGCTGCGATTTGTCGGGCCGATTTTGGTAAATAATCGATGCCCCTTCTTCGACATTTAGCGATTTAAACGTTCAATTGAAGCTGTCCGTTCTCTCGTCTGTTTATATTATAGTTTTCTGCGTGCGAAAAGTTTTCAACAACTTTACAACGGAAGAAAAATCGTTGAATCGTGAGAAAAATCTGTGATTTTTTACAGATTTTTCTCCCGATTTTGTGAATCGCAAGGTGCTGACGCGAGGACTCACGACAGTTTATTTACATACAGCGAGCAAAATCGGCCCGACAAATCGCAGAGTGTAAACGTACCTTTACACAAGTAAGAGACGATATATTAAAGGCTATGAAAAAAGGATAAATTACTCTTATTGCATTCGCCGACTTCTCAAAGGCGTCCGCTACAGTGGACTTTGCGGTAATAATAAAGAAACTTCATGTCATTGGCTTTTTACATTTATCGTTAAATTGGATTCTTAACTACCTTACTGGTCGGAAACAACTTGATCAATTAAATGCCAGCCAATCTGAACTAGCAGACGTGTTGCTTGGTGTTCCGCAGGGATCGATATTGGGTCCCATGCTTTTCAACATATACGTCAACGATCTTCAAAATAATTTTACCTGCAGGTGCTTCCAATACGCCGATGATATAACAGTGTACCGTAGTTGTACTCCTAATAACTTCAGTTAATGTGTGCAAGAAATGAATGACAACATACAAACTCTCGTAACCTGGGCCACAGAATCCAATCTCTTGTTGAATGACAATAAGACTAAGCAGATGCTCATAAGCACTCGACAGATGTGAAGAACTCATAATCTCGGAGACATCACGCCACCTCTTACTATAAAGCATCAATCCCTTGAGACGGTTGAAAATTTTAAGTTACTTGGTACGTGGCTTAGTGAGGATCTCAAATGGTCACATCTTGTAAAGGAACTTGTCTCGTCTTGTTACGGAGTACTTTCAACTTTGCGCAAAATTCGGAATATGACATGCACCCTCAAAATACTAAAAAGCTATTAGCAGAAAGTCTTGTACTTTCTAAGCTAAACTTTAATGATGTCGTTTGCTATCCTCTTCCCGCATACCTACAAAAGAAAATGCAACGTGTGCAAAACGCTGCTGCCAGCTTCGTCACCAATCGTCATTGTTCTGGAAAAGTTGTCTTACAGCTTGGATGGCTTCCAACCTTGGAGAGAACTCAATTAAACCTCCTCAAGCATACTCACCGAGTAATCTACAACAAGGTCCCTTGGCTTGAGTATTGAACCCTGGAAGTATATAACGTTGGAAGAACGCTACGCTCTAATACAGCACCACGATTGTCGATTCCATTAATAAAACGAACTTTTCAGGAGACAACAGCGAACTTATTCAATGATCTTCCCCCAGAAGTACGATCATGTGCTGACTTAAACGTATTCATGAGGGAAGTGAAACAATTACTGAAATATATCCAGAGCTCTCCTACTGTACGCCTTGAATAGACTTATTTATATTGTATTAGTAAACCATTTCTTCTTATTAACAATTTAGCTTAATTAAATATATATATATATATATATATATATATATATATATATATATATATATATATATATATATATATATATATATATATATATATACTTAAAATGTTTTTGTTGCTACTCCGAGTTTAACATTTTAAGTATTAATAAATCGCTCTATTTTGTAATATTGAGCACTCTTCACTACATATACGTTCAAAAGAAACTGAATTATTATAATATATATATATATATATATATATATATATATATATATATATATATATATATATATATATATATATATATATATATATATATATATATATATATTGTTCAAAATGAAAAAATTAAAAATTAAAAATTTCAAAAAATTTAATCTGCTGCTACTTAAAACCTGGTTCACACGATGAAATAAGCATAAGCATAACCAAGCGGAACATTTGATGTTCATAAGCATAAACATAAGAAGAACAAATGTTGCGTTCTTCTTATGCTTACGTTTATGCACATCAAAGGTTCCGCTGCTTGTGCTTATGCTTATTTCATCGTGTGAACCAGGCTTAAGTTTCACGTATTACCGATCGGTAAATATTTGTAAATAGCTAAATAGCGTACCCAATTAGTACACTTATGTCGGCCTATGTATTCTTGACACTGAGATAAAGTTTATGTATGTATGTATCATGTGCATGTGGGTATGTATGTATGTCAGAGAACTGTCAGTCAAATGTTCAATGACTTTGAGTCAAACATATGTATTGTGATGTATGATGGGTGTCCGATGACTTTGAGTTAAGTTTGGTTGGAAATAAGTATGAATGCAGACACAAATTAATATCAGCGCAATTTGGAAATTAAGTCGGAGATTCTTGGCAATGAATTTCTGAACCCCACGGGAACGGTAAAAACCTCGCACTTGACTACACATTTTCAGGTTACTTTTTATACATGTCATTTGCCAAGACGAAAATACTTCTTTCCTGCAAGCAAGACGAAAATATTTTGTTCCTGTTATTATGAAACTATGCTGTGATAGTCGTACTGCAGCTGCTGTCAAGGCCGCCCAAAGTAAGAGGGGTGAGGGGGCAATTTGCCGTGGGGTCCCAACAGAATTGTATTATATTTTTGTCTGGGTGTATGTTAATTTGTGCACGGTCACGGTGATTGAGTACGTTCATTGTGTTTTCGTATATAAATGAAGTAATCATCCAATAGGGATAGCTGAGATTAAACATGCAACCGCGATGAATAGTATTCAATGACGTTGAGACAAAGGATTTGTGCACGGTGAGGTATAGTTCAACATCAAAAAAGATCCTCTATTTTGTGGCTTGGTAGTTTGCCGGGTTTTCAGACCATCATATCTTGACAGACTATGTACACACGCAGATAAAAACATAACTTCCAAGCGGAGGTAATAATAGTGATGATTAGTATAGGCATAGTCTCACAAGGGGATGGTCTGGAGACTTCGGAATCTGTCGGCATATCCTTTTGTCGAGAATTTATGCCGTGACGTCATCATCACCGTGCACATCCGCATGCGTTTTCAAGCATTTTAATAGCATATTTCAATATACAAACTGAGGCCTGATACAAACTACACACAAATTTGCAATTAAAGTGAGGAAAATTTTAATTATTATTGATGCCGGGTGGCAATTGTGCATTAAATCAATGCGGGACAAACCGACGAACAAAAGAAATCGAGCTATTCAAGCTTCCAACGGCGAAGGACAACTTGAGCAAGAAATGGCGGCAGGATTTTCACTAATGGATTTTCTGAACATCGTTACCAAATATCGAGTTTGAAGACAAAGATTTTAAAAGGCAGTTGGCTGTTGATTCACACATGTTTGCAGAAGACTTTCTTCCTGAAGAGATCATTACTTGTAAGTCAATTAGAAGTATAAATATGATACATTATAGGAGCAATTTTATTAAAACCTGTGGCGTATATATTTTGGTGTATCGTATTCCCATTTAGGCATCTCATGCAATATATAAAGCATGTCGGTGTTTACAGGTAATGCTATTTCTCTGATCGCGACTTCGTGAGATTTAATTTGTAGATCTGTCGATCTGCAATAGATCTGTCGATCTGTAAACAAACAGTAACACATTTTGAAGAGAAATTTATTTTTTATTGTAACATTTCATTTTCAGATCATGGCCCAAAGCTGACCAAGAAGCAGCTTGCCCATGGAGCATTGCCTACCTAAAATTACCAACCAAGTCATCCGACTCCTTTATTACGAAGCCAGAAAGAAAGGAACGAGCATCGACCATTGTATGTCTTGTACAGGACAGATTATCAGCTTCCACAACAACTTGTTATAATAATCTTGAGGAACTTGCGGGTAAAAAATTGCATTAAATGACTGGAGTAACCTGTACGGAATATGTTGTTCGAATATGGAAAGTAGATGTCCCATATATGATTCCAACTTATGACATTCATATGAACCACTACTCAGGCGTACACGAAAAAGGTTACCAATTAGGCCTAGGGCAGTAAAATCCTGCATGTAAAAATCAGGTGCAAGTACACTTACATAACTATTATTACAACCTTTTCCAAATTTCAATTTTACTGATAAAAATGGGTTTCTAAGAGTAAATTACAAATTTCAGGCTGTAAATTCTTTAATCTGCTTCGTTCATATGTGCAGGATTTTACTGTAGTGTTTGTCTTCTGGGGTATAGTATAACTGCTTTTACTAAAAAAAGTTATCTATAATACTTCTACAGTTCTGCTTGATAGTTATGTTTTACAATATTCTTAACTTGATTTTTGTAACATATATTACTGGTTGTTGTTGTTGTTGTCAAATTTAAATACAGAACAGTACAGTTCATAATTACATGTACCGGTATGTTTAATTTGACAATCTTATGCACTTTTCAATTGTAATCCTGACCCAAGAGGAAAGGTGGGGACATGTGGGGTGTTTTTCCTCTTTTAAAACTTAGTTATGCCTGACACAATGGGGGATTTTCCTGTTATGGATCCCGATCATAGATATAGGAGATCTAGATTGCTAACGCATACCTAGCGCAGGTGGGGCCTACATGATAAATCCACGATGGCGGTACAACAGGGCAAAAAGACTATAGATTCTATTACGAAAATCAGGATTTTTGCATTTTTTGCTGTCGCATTGGTTTGAAACTTATTCGGTCAAATTTTATGGTAAAGAGAAACTTACCGCGAAGATTTTGAGCATATATATGATTGAATTGGATGAAAACTCGCAAAATTATCCATCGATAAAAGTTCGTGTATAGTACTGATACAGTACTATATATGTAACTTGTACAGTTTTGCTTTAATTTTTGCTCACTATTTGCATAAAAAGAAAATTATAACAGACCATAGATGATAGACCCTCATCAGCAGTGCTCTCATCAGTTTACTTCTCTAACAAGCCAGGAGGGGGGGAGGGGTACATAACAGTTCATTTTTCATAATTATGAAGACAGAGCAGATGATGATGAGAGATGCAAGTATAAAACACCATTCACAAGGCTAGATGTTAACATAGCACAGTATTTCTGGCAATAAAACGCTCCAACTGACCAACTGACCATTTCACACGAACTTTTATCGCTGGATAATTTTGCGATTTTTCATCCAGTTCAATCATATATATGCTCAAAATCTCCGCGGTAAGTTTCTCTTTACCATAAAATTTGACCGAATAAGTTTCGAAACAATGCGACGGCAAAAAATGCAAAAATCGTGATTTTCGTAATAGAATCTATAGTCTTTTTGCCCTGTTGTACCGCCATCTTGGATTTATCATGTAGGCCCCACCTGCGCTAGGTATGCGTTAGCAATCTAGATCTCCTATATCTATGATCCCGACCCTGGTATGTGGGGCCATCGTATACAGCCTGCTCGCAGGCTAGGATTGTCTTGTTGAGTCTGTGCCTGGGACCTAAATATTAGAAGCCAGATTAGTGCTATTGTTTCTCTATGGTGACAAAATAGTTTACTACAAAAATGTTCTTTGTTCAATAAAATTTTCTATTTTTTTAAAAAAATCTTGCCCTTGTGGGTTGGGGGACTTCCGACTTGACAAGATTAGTCAGGTCAGCCTGCCTCAGGGGGTCAGGCAACAGTTAAGTATGGATATATTAAAATATATACCCCCACCATTTCCCGAGGTTTGGGGGGTTACAATTGACAAGTGCATTACATGTTTTCATTAATTGAAGGTTCATCTGAAATATTTTTTATTTCTTTTCTTAATGCCTTTGAACTCTTCTGTTTGGCTTTACACTTATTTATCACATCCTTTGCAAAACTGTATGATCTCACTTTGATATAGAGTAATATTAGTGTAAAATGTCTTTGGACACATCTTTAGATACTTCTAAAATCAGCAGTCCTTACCCACTCCTGGAAAAGACTGTCTACCTTAGGACCTTTTTCCAGATTATCAACAATGTCTGTTTTTGATATCTTTGTGATGGGTTCCTCAGACTCAGTTATGACAATTTTAAAGTTAATTCCTGCTATAGTAAAAATTTGTTATACAGTTGTCAGTTCGGTTTATTTTCCAGAGCCCCTCTCTGTGCTGTTTCACAACTGTTGCTTTGTTTTCCAGCTTGGAGTACAGCCAGTACTTGCTGCTTGGAATTTGTCATCCAATCTTTAGACTTTCAAATATGTTAGTGTAGAGTACATAGAACATATCCACCGAGGTATTTCAATGCTGCTTTTTCCTTCTCATTCAACATATTTACAGTAGATTTATGTTCTGATAATATTAAAAACATAAACCTTGAAACATTTCCTAACACTTTCTGCATAGCAACTATTTTTCTCTAAACTCTTGCAACTTTGATTTACCAGGTTAAAATAATCATCAATGTTGAATATATTGTCATTGTTGTCGGCGTTAATATTAATACTGTCAGAACTCAGTATTTCCTTTGTCTTTCATGCTTTGCATTTTTATGCCTCGTCAAACCAGCTTTACTTTTGCACTTTTTCCCACAAAAATTGCAACAAAATTCGCCATCCGTCATCTGAAAATACATAGAAAAAGCATCTAAATATAAATATATCCCATTTGAACCTGGCAAGGCCGCAAGAGTGCAGAAATATGTTGCACAAAATATTGACTAAGTATGTTCGACATTTCAGTCAAGACGATGTCAACTTACTTCTTCGATCGCTTCTTCGAAAGCGTGTTGTAGTTCTTCCTCCTTGTCTAAAGCATCAGAGTGCAACGGCTCTAAAACCGCGTCGATCTCATTCTCGTATGGCTCTTTACATTCAGCCATCTTTATTTTTGTGCACGGTGTAGTACCACGTGACACCCTAAATTTGCTTGGCGCAACATATTGCGCGGCATCTTTTGAAGTTTAGGAAGTCTCCAGACCATCCCCTTGAGAGACTATGGTATAGGTAATAGCATGTTTTCGAGTGCAATTTGGATATAACATGCACGAGTGAGTTTTTCAAAGATCTCAAAATAGCACGAGTCCGAAGGACGAGTGCTATTTGAGGTCTTTGAAAAACTCACGAGTGTATGTTTATCCAAATTTCACACGAAACCATGCTATTACTTATTAATAATTTACATAAAAATGTTCCAGACAATTGTAGTTTTAACTTACGCGTTTATAGCGAACATTTCACTGGAAAATTTTTGTTAGTCTTGTTTAAGGTAATTGCTTTTCCATTTAAAAATAAAGATAAAAGGCAACTTTTACTTTGTGTAGTGCGGCGCCATGTTTGTTTTGTTTTGAAGCAATCTGTGACCGTTACTTCTTTAAACTAAATTGCTTTAAACTGATTGGTTGATTTAATCATCACCATGTTTTTCCACCAATCAGATCAGTTTGTTACAGATTTTCGCACTGTGATTACAAAAAATTGCACTGTGATTACAAAAAATTGCACTGTGATTACAGAACATTGCATTGTGATTACAGAAAATTTCACTGCTGTTTGGGATTAACTGCACTGAAATCAACCAATCACAGTCAAGTAATATAATTATGTATATTATTATTATACTAACTGATTCATACCGGGCATAGATCCTTTGGGATATGAGTCTCCTGTCGAATGAGTACCTGCGAGTAATTTAAGATTACATGCATATTACAAAAAAAACATGCCTAAAAAACCTAGATACTGTACATGAGGAGAAAATTTTCTACAATGCTTATAACTGAAAATTCCTATGGACTGCAATCAAGAACAGGCCAACTCCTCGGTTCCCTTGATACGCCTTTAAAAAGCCATAGAAATAACGCAACAGCTTAAAGTCCCGTACAAAAGAACATTTGTTTTCCACGTTCAAAACTAAAGCTTAGGCACTACCAGCTTTTATGAATTATATTCAATAAAAATGCTGCACAAAATTCTGATAAAAAGACACACGGTACTTACAAAGTATGCACAGAAATATATGGTCTTCTAAAATTGGAAACGTAAATTGCAAATTAATGTGGCTAACCGTAACCAAAAAATTACCTGAGCTTGAAGCTTCACTTGAGAAACCCAATAAAGATAGGATCCAAGATATACTAAACCAAGCCAAAATTGATTTTAGCCATCTAAAGTTCGAGCTGTCTTCTACCATAGCTGCATCAGGCACTTGAAAAAACGAATGAAACAATTATACATACTAGGGGATACAAGGCTGCGCGAATTAAGATACACATTCTATTTTGAGTAGCGCAAAGCGAATGAGTAAAATATTATTTTCACCACGAGAATATAAAACTTATCTAATTTTAATATGCAGTGATAACCAATTTGTGCAGTGATAACCAATTTGTGCAGTGATAAAAGTAAAATGTGCAGTGATAAAATGTAAAATGTGTAGTGATAAAATTCGCCGTGGTAAGTTGTTTTGTAATTAACAAGGAAATGAGGCAATGAAAAGAAAATTCGTTTTGACACTATTAAACAAAACATTTTGAATGAGAATAATTTGAATGAAACTGAAATGGTAACTGCCAAATTATCGAACGTCCACACTAATATTATACTTAAGGTTCATCAGATGAACAAAGTCTCACCACAAAGATCTCTTTATGAGCTTGGAGAATGAAGTGAATGATATACTATTTTATTGTAATTTTTAGTGTATAATCTTCATAATTCTATAGACTGTCCCCGCATACTGAAAGAAATGCCCTTTTAGAGAGCCTAGATTGCAAAATGTTCTGTGGATGCATGCTTCTAGAGGTTTGTAACGCCTAAGCCGCCTCTCCTTTGCCAAGACGAAAATATTTCTTTCCTCGGAAACGTAAATTGCGAACTAATGTATAGTCAAAGTCTAACCGTAACCAAACAATTACCTGAGCTTGAAGCTTCACTTGGGGTTTCATTTGGGGATCCAAACTTCGAGCTGTCTTCTACCGGGCAAGTTTGAAAAAAACGGATGAAACAATTATAAATAGGGGAAACAAGGCTGCGCGAATTAAGATATAGGCCTACATTCTATTTCAAGTAGTGCAAATAATACTTTATGAATGAGCGCGGCGAATGAGTAAAATATTGCTTTCACCACGAAAATGCCCTTTTAGAGAGCCTAGATTACAACAATTTATATGGGTGGATGTCCCTGGAACTCCTCTACGGAGGTTTATCACGCCTATATAAGCCGCCTTTCATTTGCCAAGACGAAAATATTTCTTTCCTGCAAGCATGTTATTATGAAACTATGCTGTCATAGATGGTCGTAACTGCAGGTGCCGCCAAGGCCGCCCAGAGGGGTGGAGGGGCAATTTGCCCTAGAGCTCCAGTTAAAGGGTGGCCAAATAAAAAAATTACAGTGAAATAAAGTATACACTTAATGTCTGCTCTCGAGAGAAATAGTGACATTTGGTTTCCCGAGAATCTCAATTGAGATTCGAGGAAAAACAAAATTCACTATTTCCCGAGGAAGCACACATTAAGTGCTTTGTTATATAGCGACAAAAACTCTATAGTGTAAACGAGTTTAAAATTAAAAGAACCTACTTAAACGGTGTCAGCAGCATATCCTGTTGTGTATTTTTCTTCTCTTTTACATTGATTTATTTATTTGAACACAAACTTGGAAAATCGTAGTTTCTAATTATGCTAGTTGTACCGCAATTTTGTTTATTCATGCACGTAGCCGGTCGGGGCGAGCAACAGTTTTTCACTTGTTGCCCGGCGGGATACATTGCATTTATCTGAAGTCACATGACCACAAATCAGCCAATCACGTTTGGTGTTCACCTTAGCTATATAACAAGTAGATATAACTGCCAGCAGACTTCCAGAATGCAGGATTTGACCTCAGATTTCAAACATTTCCGGGACAATGCCTCCGGACCCTCCTAATCATAGTTTTAGAAGATGGAATCATCAGGGGGCCAAAGTCAAATTTTGTCCTGGGCACCCAAATTTCCCCGGGTGCTGCTCATTTTTGAACACCAATTGTAGCTGTTTTGTGGTTACACATTATTATAACGGCGTGCTTCTGCTCGGCTAAACTTTGCACAAAAATGTGCAGTACAGTGCACAACGTTTTTAAGAGATAAACAATTCCTTATCACTCCCTTCCTAACTCGCTTATTAAATGTTGAATTTCAAGAGCTCTTATTTGGGCATGACGACTTTCTGGCTGCAAAGCTGATGGCTTACACTGCCAAATAAAAATTATCATACGCATTTCATCTCATTATCTATTGTTTTTAATGCGTTTGGCACATGAGTAGCGAAACGTTTGAAACAAGCCTGACGCACCAGAAACGTCGTGCCTCGTGGAACTGATACAATTTATTTACTTTTTGTGATGCTACACGTGACAACTCGAAATTTAAATTGTTTCACCAACAACCAAATTTTGTATATTTTAAAACTACATTTGAATTGGGGATTGTCGCTAAAAGTATACCCACGAGGCTATTGATATACTAAACTTATTTAAAAATATGATTATTGGCAACATCCTTTTAGCGCCCATATTGCACACTTGACTATTGTCTCAGTGACACTCTTTAATTGAAATAGCTGTATAATTAGTTATGAATAATAAGCGTTGCACCATTACAAAAAAAACATAAATCAAAAACACGCATATATTGTTAAATATGATTTAAGAATTGTCAACTAACCAATTTGAAACTGGCAAAGTAAAAATTCCTTTAGCATTAGCCACTCACCAGTGTTGAGCCAAATTTTTACACTCTTTATGTCAAACGTCTCGGACGAATGCTTGTTCGACTGGCAAACATATACAAAGGATTGATTGTTGTACAATCTCTGAAGTTCACTAAGCTTCCAGAAGTGGCGGTGCCCACAACGGTCTGAATGACACTGGATCTCATGATGACGAGAACATTTTCTTTCTTCTTTGCCAAAGCAGCCGGTACATTTCACTTCGAAGTCATAGCTGGTCATGCTGAATAATAGTTGATCCGGAGATTTAAGGTCGTCCAAGCACTTTTGTAAGGTGCCTAGGAGATGACTGGCAAACTTGAAATGGTTGCCATCATGTTTTGGGAAAACGGCAACCTTAATGAACTCGTGGAGGTCGATTAAATAAACGTCATACACGCCGCCGTCTATAATAAGCGGAAGCAAGGAGTAGTTGCAGTAGAAGGACGGCGTGACTTGTTGCTGGTGGAAGCAATTTTCCCACTCAGAAATTAACCTCACTTGAAGCTTCGTAAACAGGCCCATCGGTACAAGTTTGCGAGGAAATGTCACAAACAGCGATGGAACATTGCTAGCTTCCAACTCTTTTCCTGGTATCATAGTTGGAGCGACTGAAGGGACATAAAAAGCTGCCTTTCTCTCGTGCTGACAAGGGCAAATCAAATTAAACTTTTGCATAAGCTCTTCTAAAAGTTCTGCGTCTTCCAGCTTCTGAAGATATTCTCGAAACAAAATACCTTTCTGCTTGAACACATCAAGAGTGTACCTGGACAATGCATCCAATGTACCAGGCATGGAGATCACTTTCGTAAAGCGATTCATTAGCCAGTGTGGATCCAATACAACCTTGCTGGATCCACTGTGATGTACGACCACACCTTGGCGGTGCAGAAATTTGATAGCTTGATTAAATTCCCCAACGCCACAGGCCTCCGCTTCCTTCTTAGCTTCCTCAACTGGAATATATTTGCAATCTGGTGATAGCTTCCGGCTTAGAGCAGCTTCAAAATCTAGCCACTTCACAGGCATTAAAATCTCCTGGTTAAGGACTGCATTCGAGAGGTCAAAAAGCTTTCTACGAAGCTTTCGCACGTCGTCTCCGTCGTCACCTTCCAATGAATTGTCGATCAGGAAAAACATTGGGTCGACATTCTCATATTTTCCTTCAAACAAGACCTTGTTGATTCTATTTTGTACGCTACGTATTTTGCTGTCGTCGCCTTTCACCTTATCGCTATGAGTTAAGGCTATTAAAATTGGAGGCCGTTTAAAGTTCTCACCTTTTGCAGTGGTACAGTCACCAGATTTGTCAGGAAACTGTTGATCTTGGCATTCTCCTAAACCTTGCAGAAACTTCAACCACGATGTAAAATTATCTAAATTAGTATTAAGATGAGGATTGTTCATCTCCATCTCTTCCTCTTCATAACTTGCTTTAAACCTGGGAACGGTGGGTTTATCAAACTCCAGAGAAAGGTCGTAAACCAAAACATAAGGGCAATGCGGTTTCACAAAGCAGCCATGGGTATCGTAATAGATTGACTGTCCAGCAAAGTCACTTACAAATACCCGAATAACTTTTTTCTGGTTGTGTTCAGTGGACCTCTGCGACTTGATTTCGGAGATTTCTTCTCTTGATAATGGCTTCACTGGCATCACTGGCTTCAATGTTTCTGGCGCATCCCCTTCTAAATTCCGCTGAACCCCTGTATGAATGTACTCGGCAATTTTTTTGTGTAACACAGTCTTTGCCTCACTTTCACTGGTCATAAACTTCTTAACTTCTCTCTTTTTCCAGGGATCTTCTGCATTTTGTTCTGTTAGCTCGATGACATTAACGTCAATACCGGTGGTACTGGGTTGATCTTTGTTGAATGGTAACCCTAAAAGACGTTTCATCAGCGAAGTCTTTCCGCCTCGGTCTTGCCCGACCACCATAATCGGAATTCGATTATTTTTTTCTTCACCTTCTTGGAGAGCTTGCGAGTATGCACGGCTATATTCTTCATCTTCACGAGCTTGACAAAATAAAGTCAAAACAAGAGTTAGCGCTACGTAAAATGAAATATAACCTTCACAAAATGGGCCTCTATAAAGCGTTCCCCCATCTACCAAGCACCATGCCCTAAACGTGCAAGATTTTCGAATTTTTGCTTACTGTAAAACATTACTCTGTATCTTTATTGTAGATTTATAGTTCCATACCTACTATTTTAAATGTTTAAGAGGATTAAGGTCACGTGACCTCTTGGTACAAGTCGCTTATTGGCAAAGTGATTGTTCGAATGTGTACGGGACGGTGTCGTCAGATACTGTCAAGAGTAGCCTGCTCACAAGCTCTATTATATAGAGCTTGCGACTTTTATTGATATTCTTTCAATACGCCCCCTTTGAGATAATTGAATATCCGGTAAATAGTAGCCAATCAAAGTAAGTTTTGTTAATTAGATTACCAGAGGTTATTAACAACAACAAACAGTTTCTCGCACAATTTTACGCCTGTATCTTTCACTAGGATTCCAAGGTCTAAACTTTAATCTAAAATAATGCATGGTCGTTTTTTCCCTAAACTGCCTAAAGTGTTCTAATATTTAAAACATAGTCCCGTTTGTATATTGCTGTCTTTGTTCGTATACATTGCCGTTTTAAATTATGTAACTATACCAAATATAACTGTAACTAAATATATAAAATTTTATTCTCTATTAGTTAATGTATTTTACACATTTATATCCAAAATATAACTGTAAGATTTAAGGAAACGTATTTAGGTTTTGAACAAACACTATTTATTAAAAGTGTCGAACAATAGCAGGCTAAAAAACAACATTAATCATTATTGCGTGAGTCTGTCATACAATTTGAAAACCCGTGGCCGCGGCATCGATTCTGCCGTGTTTAATAACTAGATTTTTTCTGTAAAAAGCTCTTGTTGTAATAATATATGCCATTAGTTGAGACTCCCAAAAAGAAAGTCTCAAAGAGAGAGCGGACTTCGGTCAAAGAACACGCAAACGACTATTGCAGAATTTCCAGGTGTAAATTGATTCAAATTGGCCAGGTGTTCTAAGAACGACTTTCCTCGACGGCGTCTGTTTTAATAATTTGCCCATTGTCTTGGCTTATTCAAGACCAGATTGTTGAGGCAGAAAGCCTTGGACAATCAACTGCTTTATACTAGCTGATTCACTGCCTGTGTCTCAACGAACGTCTCGCTGGGCTAA